CCTCCAAGAACCAGTCGTAAAGCGATAAGAAGAGAGGCTTTCCAAACAAATCAGAGACTGCTCCTTGAGCAATAGGCATTGAACTCAAACTTCCACCACTTAATAGATTTGTAAGAAGATTGCTCGCATTGTCCAAAATGTTACCATTCGTCTTTGGCTCTTTGGTTTTAGTAGATTGACACCTAAAATATCCCTCCCACACAATTACACAAACCAAACTCCATTACTACAAACTATAGACCATTACAAAAGCTGTTACTGTATCTTCTTTGGTTTCTATTTTTTCACAATCCATGAATGAATTGCCCTGATTCAAACCTAATTCCACAAACAACTATAAATCTAGAACCATAGCTCTAGATTCAAAGCAATAAATCGAGATTCGAGACCTAATCTAAAGGTGAAAATTTTCAAAAGCCATGAAACCCACCTGATGGAAACAGAGATTTTTCGAGAGTTTGGAGAAGAAAGAGTTTGAGGGTAGGGACCCAAGAGGCAGTAATCGCTCCTACCCACATGAAGACCGCCATGGAAGGAGCTTGAAGGAACGCAGTGAAGAAAAGCCATCTTCACATGAAACAAAAAGCTCTAGACTTTGAAAAAGATTGAACATTTTCTTCTTCTTCTTATCTTCGTTGAACATGGTGACCACAAGCAGCAAGCATAACGACACAGATTCCACTCGCAAGAAGATTAGTGTTTACACGACACGTGTCTTCTATTTTATCTGTAACTATTCAAAACGTTATTTATGTTATAAACTACTAACTATTATAGTGGGATAATACGTGTTTTCTATGGATCGGGCATAAACCGTTTTTACTTTTTTGGCATATGATCGGATAGATGATCGAATAGAGAGACTATTGTGCTGATAACGTGTTATAAGCTACTAACTATTATAATGGGATAATACATATGTTCTATGGATCATATATGCGTTTGTATTATATATCTATAGAGAGAGACGAGAGAAGAACACACAAACGAATAACCAATTCACCTTATTATTCAACACAAGTACATCTCCTATTTATAGGAGGAGAAAGTCGGCAAGAGATAAGACGCAAACATACTTCATGTTGAAGTAACAATATAATATCAAATAGATAATAGTAAATGGATAATTACTATCTTTTATAATACTCCCCCTTGATTATCCATTTCATAATGTACTCCTGATAGAGATGATCTTCTTTCTATAAATTGCATAGATGATGGAATCTCCTCCTCAAATAAGTCTTGTCTCTTCGATTCCATA